TCCAGTAGTACCTCCTCCTGGCCGGGCCCAGGGCAGGCACTGAGAAAGGTTATAAAAAAAAACAAGCTGATGCCAGAGGCTACCTAGAATGCGACAAGGAGGCCATGTTCTCCAAGAGTGGTCCTTAGGCACCTGGCTTCAGAATCACCTGGGAACTTGCTAACTTTGGCCCCAACCTAGCCCTACCAATTTAGAATCTCTAGATGCCCAAGAATCTGTATTTTAACAAGCAACCTCCCAACCCCCATTCCAGGTGATTTTTATAGGTGGTCACATTTTTTTTTTTTTTTTTGTCTTTTTTCCGTGTCCGGCAGCGGATCGCAACCCTCAGTGTTGCCCCCGTACCGGACCGGGGACCGGCAACGGGATTGCAAGCCTCGGTGTTGCTCCCGCGCCTCGCTCAGCCAGTGAGCGGGAGCCGGTCCGTATGTGGGATCCGAACCCTCGGATGGGAGCGCCGCCGCGCTTCCCAAGCGGCGCACTATCCAGTGCGCCACCGGGCCGGCCCTAGGTGGTCACATTTGAGAACAAATTGGTATACCTATATATCTAAAATGTGTGATGCAACCTCAAATTACAGCTCCTGTAATTCTCATCCTCAGTTTCCTCATCTGTAAAATGGGCACGCAGACCTTGCCCCAGCCCTTCCAGGGTTGACATGAGGATGAAAAGCATCAGGGACGTGAAAGTGTTTTATAAATTACGAGATGGTTTAGGAAAGCAGCAGGAGTTTCTTTTCGACTCTAATGAGCAGTTTGTGAAATTACTTACTACAAATCCTCGAATGTGTCAGAGCTAGAAGGGACCACAAAGATCACATAAGCCTCTTCCCGTACAGATGGAAAAACTGAGGACCCGTGAAGCCAGCCAGTGATAAAATCTGGTCTACTCTGGATTCCCAGCCCTGGAGTCTGCCTGTCCCTCTTCTCTGTCCCCTGACCCCCACCCCAGAAGCTGAGGGGTAGGTCACATTCTAAATAACCAAGCCAGGCACTGACAGAGCATGAGAGAAGCCAGCACACTCCCATTCCAGATGGAGAGTTTCCTTTCCCCACATCTTCCCAAAGAGTCCCAATAACAGTAACACTTTTATAAAGCCCTCTCATACCAAATAGTCATTCAATAAACATTTATTGAGCACCAGTCATATACCAAACACCATGCTGGTTGCTGGAGAGGGGAGACATATACGATGATACTTCAAAAGTTTGTGGAAAGATAGAATTAAAAGATAATGTGAATCTTTCCATGAACTTTTTTTTGGGTGGGGGGCAGCTGGCTGGTACAGGGATTGAACACCAGACCTTGGTGTTATCAGCACCACACTCCAATCAACTGAGCTGACCTGCCAGCCCCTCCATGAGCTTTTTTGAAGATGCCTTGGATATTATTATTGCCCCATTTTATGATGAGGAAATCGAGGCACAAAGGGCATGAGTTTACCTTGTAGATGAAAAGGTTATTCAGGCTTGGTGAGGCCAAAGCCAGGGGTTTTCCAAAGCTCTGCCCTTCCCAAAGTATTCAAGTACACATCCCAGGTAGAAGTACATGCCTTCCTTCCCACAATCACTTGTGTCCTGCTGCAGCAGAAAGGTGCAAGGACCAGAATTCCCAGCATGAAACCAAGGAAAAGATAAGGGTCTACTGTATCTATTAATACCTACTTAAAGCAGAAAAGGCCTGATAGATGGGACCCCTTGGCCCAGCATCCGGCACAGCCTGATAAGGCTGTTTTCAGTGTCAACAGTTCAGGCTGATAGCCCTCCCAAAAATCCACAATCACTGGGCAACCACTTCCATTGATGATCTCCTTTCAACCCAATAATCTCCTGAGTGAAGCTTGTTTATACACATGGGGCAGGAAGGAGGAGGCTCAGAGAAGGGCACTCACAGCTCAAGGTCACACTGCAGAATTAAGATGGGAACTTAGCCTGTTCCATTGCAAAACTCAGAATCTCGGGCCGGCCCGGTGGCGCACTGTAGTAGTACACCGCTTGGGAGCGCGGTGGCGCTCCCGCCGAGGGTTCAGATCCCACATACAGACCGGTTCCCGCTCACTGGCTGAGCGAGGTGCGGGCGCGACACTGAGGGTTGGGTTCCGTTGCCAGACACGAAAAAAGACAAAAAGGAAAAAAAAAAGAATATAGAGGCTTTATTGTTTGTTTGGGGAAAAAGTCAAAGGTGGCTGATTTCTTCAACCATTCTGAGCTTGGTCCTGGTCCGGTGCGGGCGCGACACTGAGGGTTGCAATCCGGGAGGGTTGCGATCCCGTTGCGGTCCTGGTTCGGTGCGGGCGCGACACTGAGGGTTGCAATCCGTTGCCGGACACGAAAAAAGACAAAAGGGGAAAAAAAAAAAAAAAAACACTCAGAATCTGCCCTTCATACCTGCCACACTCTGTAAATACTCCAAGAGCCAGGCTCAGGACTATCATGATTATAATGTGTGGTTTCCAAAAGGTATTATGGTGGATAGTGGCTTAATTAGTAGAATCCTCTGTAAGAGCCCAATGGGTGGAAGCCCCTGGGCCCATAATCCTCTGGACTGAAGATCCCATCTTTCCCTTGGTTCTTTCGAAGAGGCAGGATGGTACAAAGATGATAGCATGGGCTTCTAAATCAGATGGATGTAAATGGAAATCTTGGTCTGTGTGAGCTTGGACAAGTCAAGTAACTTCTTCCAATCCTCATTCATTCAATCCACAGTTAATTACTAGGCACCTACTATCTGTCAGACATTGTTCCGGGTGCTGGAGAGACAGCTATAAGCAAAACAGATCCATCTCTGACACCTGGAGCTCACAGTCCAGTGGGAGTTAAGAATTATTTCTAGGGCCAAGCCCGCAGCGCACTCGGGAGAGTGCGGCGCTGGGAGTGCAGCGGCGCTCCCGCCGTGGGTTCGGATCCTATATAGGGATGGCTGGTGCGCTCACTGGCTGAGCGCGGTGTGGCCGGTCTCAAAAAGGACAAAAAAAAAAAAAAAGAATTATTTCTATATGCCTGCACAATATGGTCGTTAAAAAGTCTGATAGTGAGACATATTTTAAAGCTATTTATTCCACATATAGTATCTCACCAAACATACATTCTCAGCTTTAAAAAAGCCAAAAAAACACTCCAAACATGAATATTCCTTCATTACACGGGGTGCATAATTGGGAGAAATGATTCTGTGGTGACTTAATTTTATTACGGGGCACAGAGACATCCATTGTTGAGTTCTGGCAGAGGGAGGTGGGGAGTTTTGAATCTGCAACTCCTCATTCCTCTTGAGTGATTCCTCCACGCTATACTGACTGACAGTTTACTGTCCCTGGAGATGTTCTGTCACCATGCC